TTTTTGTTAATCTATTAGGGGTTAACCCCCATGGAGGTTCCGGTGTTTGAAGGCTCTTCTTTTTTCTCTTCTTTCATTCTTTCAAATTAATAATAACACACAAAGAATGAAATGTTGCCATGTTTTTATTGAACACACCATGTTAACATTCACAGTGCAGGTGGATAAAGTATGTGAACCCCTAGACTAATGACATCTCCAAGAGCTAATAGGAGTGAGATGTCAGCCAACTGGAGTCCAATCAATGAGATGAGATTGGAGGTGTTGGTTACAGCTGCCCTGCCCTATAAAAAACACACACCAGTTCTGGGTTTGCTTTTCACAAGAAGCATTGCCTGATGTGAATGATGCCTCGCACAAAAGAGCTCTCAGAAGACCTACGATTAAGAATTGTTGACTTGCATAAAGCTGGAAAGGGTTATAAAAGTATCTCCAAAAGCCTTGCTGTTCATCAGTCCATGGTAAGACAAATTGTCTATAAATGGAGAAAGTTCAGCACTGCTGCTACTCTCCCTAGGAGTGGCCGTCCTGTAAAGATGACTGCAAGAGCACAGCGCAGACTGCTCAATGAGGTGAAGAAGATTCCTAGAGTGTCAGCTAAAGACTTACAAAAGTCACTGGCAAATGCTAACATCCCTGTTAGTGAATCTACAATACGTAAAACACTAAACAAGAATGGATTTCATTGGAGGATACCACAGAGGAAGCCACTGCTGTCCAAACAAAACATTGCTGCACGTTTACAGTTTGCACAAGAGCACCTGGATGTTCCACAGCAGTACTGGCAAAATATTCTGTGGACAGATGAAACCAAAGTTGAGTTGTTTGGAAGAAACACACAACACTATGTGTGGCAAAAAAGGCACAGCACACCAACATCAAAACCTCATCCCAACTGTGAAGTATGGTGGTGGGGGCAACATGGTTTGGGGCTGCTTTGCTGCGTCAGGGCCTGGACGGATTGCTATCATCGAAGGAAAAATGAATTCCCTAGATTATCAAGACATTTTGCAGGAGAACTTAAGGCATCTGTCTACCAGCTGAAGCGCAACAGAAGATGGGTGTTGCAACAGGACAATGACCCAAAGCATAGAAGTAAATCAACAACAGAATGGCTTAAACAGAAGAAAATACGCCTTCTGAAATGGCCCAGTCAGAGTCCTGACCTCAACCCGATTGAGATGCTGTGGCATGACCTCAAGAAATTGATTCACACCAGACATCCCAAGAATATTGCTGAACTGAAACAACTCTGTAAAGAGGAATGGTCACATCTGATCTGGTTGGAAAAAGTATGTGAACCCTTGGATCTAATAACTAGTTGTGTACGTCTGATCTGCAACTACAGGAAACGTTTGGTTGAAGTTATTGCTGCCAAAGGAGGTTCAACCAGTTATTAAGTCCAAGGGTTCATATACTTTTTCCACCTGCACTGTGAATGTTTACATGGTGTGTTCAATAAAAACATGGCAACATTTCATTCTTTGTGTGTTATTAGTTTAAGCAGACTGTGATTGTCTATTGTTGTGACTTAGATGAAGATCAGATCACATTTTATGACCAATTTGTGCAGAAATCCATATCATTCCAAAGGGTTCACATACTTTTTCTTGCAACTGTATATGTAGTCTCTGAGAACATCAATGATAAAATCTTGAAATACGGCCGGGGCTTTGCATAAGCCGAAGGTCATGACAAGGTATTCATAGTGACCACTTCTAGTGTTAAATGCATCTACTATATTCCTCTATGATCCTACTCTCCTGTGGGGATAGGGCATACACTGCCACCTTAGTGGGCATAGTGCCAGATACCAGATCTATGGAGCAATCATAAGATCTGTGAGGAGGCAGCATGTCGGTGTGACTTTTACTGAATGCTTCTCTAACTTCCCAGTACTGCACAGGAATTTCAGATGTCTGAGGTTTGGAAGTAGGCAAAGTAACAATGCCCACTCTCTTAGTAATGAGTGACCACTTCTAGTGTTAAATGCAGTTTTCAATTCATGACCTTCCTTAACCCTTACCAAACTGTAAGCACTCCTAAGGTCGAGCTTGGTAAACACCTTAGGGCCTAGAAGTCTGTCAAACAATTCTGAGATAAGGGGAATGAGATAGGCATTTTGTATAGTGATCTTGTTCAATGCCCAATAATCAATGCATGGGCGGAATTCTCCATCTTTCTTGGATAAAAGAAAACAACCCCGCACCAGCAGGCAAAGAAGACTTACGTATATGGCCTTTGAGTAAATAATCTCTAATATATTCCTCTATGATCCTACTCTCCTGTGGGGATACGGCATACACTGCCACATTAGTGTGCATAGTGCCAGATAGCAGATCTATGGAGCAATCATAAGATCTTTGAGGAGGCAGCGTGTCGGTGTGACTTTTACTGAATGCTTCTCTAACTTCCCAGTACTGCACAGGAATTTCAGATGTTTGAGGTGTGGAAGTAGACAAAGTAACGATGCCCACTCTCTTAGTAATGGGTGACATGCATCTTTCACTACAGTCTTGACCCCATTCCAGTACTTCACCCTTAGCCCAGTCAATATGAGGGTTGTGCTTAACAAGCCATGGGAATCCTAATATGATGGCACAAGAAGGAGAAACAATTATATGAAATGTGATAGTCTCTTTGTTTAACACTCCTATAATAATACTTATAGGCATAGTTTTGTGGGTAATAAACGGCTGAAAAAGAGGTCTCCCATCAATAGCTTCCAGAGGCAGGGGTAATGATCTCTCCTTGATACGTATGGAGTGTCTGTTGACAAATTGCGTGTCGCTAAAGTTTCCTGCAGCACCAGTCCATCAGGGCTTTGCATGCAAAACTTTTCTTATTGCAAATGAAGGTAATATCAAAGAGAAATCTACTTTGGGTAGTAACAGAGGACATATCCATCACACAAGACCTGTCCCCTTAAGGTTCTTAGGTGCTGAAGTTTTCCAGACGTAAAGAACAAGCATCTCTCATATATCCCTTCTTGCCACAGTATAAACAAAGGCCCTCCTTTCTCCTAAACTGTTTCTCTGTTTCTGACAGTCTTGTAACCCCTAATTGCATAGGTTCTGGCTCAGACTGTACAGGAAGGCCAGAGACAACAGGTCTGGAGAAGCGAGGTGCTAGGGACATATTCAAGCGTCTGGTTCTATTTCTAGTACTCTCCCTGATTCTGATATGGTTGTCGATATGCATCACATATGTGATGTAGTCATTTACCATCCCTGGTAGTTCTTTGGCTGCAATCTCATCAAGGATAGCTTCAGATAATCCCTCTGCAAAGGCAGTGATTAATCCGCTATTAGTCCACTCTACCTCAGAAGCTAGAGCGCGGAATTCAATAGCATAATCTGAGACAGACCGGTTCCCTTGTTTGATACGCATTACGGCAGTAGCAGCGTTGGTCTCTCTACCCAATGGTTCAAACGTTAGTTTGAATTATGTAAGGAATTCCAAGTAATTATGGGCAGTAGACTTATTACTTTCCCATAATGGATTGGCCCATGCGAAGGCTTTACCTTGCAGTCGGTTCATTAGGTATCCAATTTTGGCTCTATCTGTGGGAAAAGACTCAGGAGAGGCCTCAAAATGGTACTCAATCTGATTCAAAAAACCTAGACATTCATGAATATTACCTTCAAAATGCGGGGATGATGATAGGGTGATATTAGGTGACCTATATTCCGTGGGAGTAGGTACAGTAGGTGGGGGTGTACCTGCCAACGGAATCTCAGGCTCTAAATGAGCTGTACGTATTAGTAGTGTATTGAAAGCTTGGGTGAACTGATCCATACGGTGATAATTGTGCTCTAGCTTTCTCTCACAAGCTACTATGTGCTGACACAAATCTGAAGGATCTATGGCCATGTCATAATGTCAGGAATAAAACTGATCCAACACACAGTATTAGTATCACACTTAGGAATAAGGATAATGTCTAACCGGACCTTAGAATGGCCAGAGAATAGAACCAGAGAATAGTCGAAATACTAGCTGAGGTCAGGAACACAGAACAAAACACAGTTGCAAGGAATAGCCAATAGTCAGGAATACCAGAATTCAGGGAAGTCAGAAATAACCAAAGAAACACGATCAGGAACACACTCTCAGAAAACCAGCAAAGGGAAACCATGACAGGGCAATGAGTAGAAGAAATTAGTGAGTTTAAATATCCCTCTTGTGAATTCGATTGGGCGCACCTGGCCTTTGACCCCAAAACATCACCCGCACATTGACGTCGCTACCACTGTGGGCAGACGTGGTGCTACATAACAGTGTAGATCTGCAGCGGCCGGCGGCCACTAGCATGTCACAAAAGCCCGGTCTTACATCATTGGACCACCAAGCAGCACTTCTCTTACCCCTGGAAAGGTGATTTATGTTGTGCATAGCAAATGGAAAGGATGTATACATGACAATAACATATCTTAGTATTATCAGCAAAAAGACATACCTTATCTAGACCTTCTGCAATACCACTAATAAAAATATAAAAAATAATGGGTCCAAGTACAGATCCCTGAGGTACCCCACTGGTAACAAGACCATGCTTTCATTGACTACAACTGTTGCCTGTCACTCAGCCACTGCCTAACCCATTTAACAATATAAGAATCCAAACTTAGATTTTGGATTTAGATTGCAGTTTATTGATAAGCCTTCTGTGCGCAACAGTGTCAAAAGCCTTACTAAAATCTAGGTAAGCAGGGGGCGTAGCCTAACTAGAGAGCCGACAAGACGTGTTTCGTTGGAGCTGCTGCCCAACGGACACAAACCTGCGAATTAATGGGGCTGCAGAGCCGCAAACCTCCGACGGAACAGCCCACAGCACTGAGGGAAGCAGCCAGAACCCAGCGGTACCAAACACTGCACCCGTGGAGACCGGGCACCGCAACGGCAAAATTAGGCCTACCAAAGGAGGCAGCGAGGAAAGGTGCCCACTTTCCCACCAAGCGGGAACACCCAGACATGGGTATGACACACTCACCCCCCCCATGGACCGGCGGGGGATAACCCGGTCCCCGCAGAACGGAGGATCCCAAGCCCCTAGCCCCTCGACTGCATCCACGGCCTTCCTAAGCAAGGAGGGAGAGGGGACCTCCAAGATGGTGGACTCACCAGACTCAGCAATGCTACACGAGCAACCACCTATCAGACGGGGTGCAGACACCAAAGCGAGAGACTCAATCAACATAATATTTGACTGGTTTTGGGCTAAACTACTGGCACGGTTACAGTCAATTGAACCAAGTCATACAGAGACTAAAATGCACAGAGCAAGCAAAGGGAAGACCTGGGAAACCTCCTCAAGATGTATAGGAGCCTTCAACTACAACTTCCCGAAGCCGGGGCCCTCCCGGGTGGAGAGCAACAGGGGTCGAACCCCAAAGAGGCCAACCACACCAGCGGAGGGCAGAAAAAAGAAAACAAAGACAGATGACCACAGACCACTGCACCATTCCAGCAGGGACGACCCTGGGCCGCATAGGAACCTAGGCTCATGGCACCAGGCCACCAGCTCTCGCAAAGGACCGGGGCAGAAGGGTACAAGCGGCAAACCACAGACCCATATGACCCTCAGGAACACTAAACTCAGGTCCACACGGGAAACACCGAGACAGGGGCGCGCCAGTTTGGGCCCCCAATGCAGCCTGGAATAAACGGGACGGCGAGCACGACTTGTATCCAGTGAAACTGCAGGATCACACAAAGAAAAAACAGATGGTTCCCAAGGGCCACACGGTCATACCTAGCCGAGGCATTGGCTAATCTGTGCCATGTGACCCCGAGCATGGTACCCGTGTCCCCCCTAAAGTACTTACTGCCACTCCACAACATGTCAGCTGATAACTTGACACTACCAAGTACTTTATGTTTCCTACCCTTTTGTTTATAAACCGTTTAAGCTAAGTAACCAAGATGCTAGCCAGACAACCGATGTATATACATAATAGCCAGCTACAGTCATAAAGAAAGCATGCTTCCCCACAACGCTTATTCGTGAACCTGCACCTAGTTGGCAGAAAAGCCTGGTTGCCTAACAATATATTTCGTATATCTAGCCTATTGCCTACTAACATATTTAGCCTGTTGTCTAACGACTCCTCACGCACCTCAAATAGCCTGTATAAACACTAGTTAGACCAGATTATAGATGTAATGTCATGCTACTACAAATTATAAAATTGTGCTTATGTTCTCGTATACTACAATTGTATGGCAATATGTTGAACCTGTGGAATGCCGTTGGGGTACCTCAGGATGCATGTAAAATTCATATGCACAGCAAAAATACAAAATCTATTTTTATTTTTTTTAAATAAATAAAATCTAGGTAAGCAATGTCTACTGCACCACTCTGATCTATAATTTTAGTTACCCAACCAAAAAAAAATCAATAAGATTCCTTCTTCCTGAAGTAAACAAATGTTGTCCATGTGATTTTAGATGTTCAACAATCCTATCATTTAACATGGTTCCTATTATTTTCCCCATTACTGAAGTCAGGCTTACTGGCCTATAGTTGCCAGACTCCTCCCTACTACCTTTCTTGTGAAAGGGCACAACATTCACTAACTTCCAATCTTCTGGGACTATTCCTGTTAACAATGATTGGTTAAATAAATCTGTTAAAAGGACCACCCTAGGCAACAAGACCACTTCAGCTTAATGAAGTGGTCTGGGTGCCAGGTCCAGCTAGGCTTAACCCATTCTTTTATAAACATAGCAGTTTCAGAGAAACTGCTATGTTTATGAATGGGTTAAGCCTTCCCCCAATTCCTCTAGTGGCTGTCTCATTGACAGCCGCTAGAGGCGCTTGTGTGCTTCTCACTCTGAAAATCACAGTGAGAGCACGCAAGCGTCCATAGGAAAGCATTGATAATGCTTTCCTATGTGACCGGCTGAATCCGCGCGTGCGCATTCAGCCACATGGGAAGAGAAGAGGAGGATCGGAGGAGGAGAGCTCCCCGCCCAGTGCTGGAAAAAGGTAAGTTTTTACCCCTTTCCCCCTTCCAGAGCCGGGCGGGAGGAGGACCCTGAGGGTGGGGGCACCCTCAGGACACTATAGTGCCAGGAAAACAAGTATGTTTTCCTGGCACTATAGTGGTCCTTTAATGGTTTTCCTAGTACACCACTAAGCTCTTTTAATAACTTTGGGTGTATTCCATAAGGCCCCATCAACTTATTTGCCTTTACTTTTGACCGTTGAAATAGAATATATTCCTCTGTAAACTCACATTTAACAAATTACTTATTTGTCCCTTTTCCTAACTGAGGCCCATTTCCTTCATTTTCGTCTGTAAATACTGAACAAAAATATTAATTGAGGCAGTCAGCTAGACGTTTATCCTCTTCTACATACCTTCCTTCTTTTGTTTTCAATCTAACTAACCCTTGTTTTACTTTCCTTTTCTCATTTATATATCTAAAAAAAATGTTTTTCCCCCTTTTTTTTTTACTGACTGTGCTATTTTTTCTTCTGTGTGTGATTTGGAAGCTCTTACAACTTGCTTAGCCTCTTTCTGCCTAATTTTATAGACCTGTCTATCTTCCGCACTCTTTTTTTTTTTTATAATTACTAAATGCTAACTTTTTAGTTTTTTACTATTTTGGCTACGTTTGCAGAGTACCACAGTGGTTTCTTAAATTTTTTTGCTTTTACTGACAAGCCTAATGCAATTTTCTGTTGCCTTCAGCAGTGCAACTTTTAAATAATCCCATTTCTCTTGGACTCTATTTAACTTGCTCCAGTCTGATAATGCTTCCTTTACACATATTCTAATTTTAGTAAAGTCTGTTTTTTTTAAATCTAAAACTTTTGTTTTTGTGTGGTGTGACGCAGTCACTGTTCTTATATTAAACCACACTGACTGATGATCACTGGATCCTCTTCGACATAACCTCCGTATTTTGTTTTTAATCTAACTAAGCCTTGTTATACTTTCCTTTTCTCATTTATGTATCTACAATTTGTTTTGTCTCCTATTTTTTTACTGACTGTGCCATTTTCTCTTGTGTGTGTGATTTGGAAGCTCTTATAACTTGCTTAGCCTCTTTCTGCCTTATCTTATAGATCTTAACACACAACTATAATTCAGCGCTTTATTACAGTTTACAGTCTAACCTGCTGTATATCATTGGCAAAAACACAAAAACCGTCCTTTATATCTGAAACCTCATTGCAAGCCAATTCATTTGTTCCTAGATGGACAAGTAAATCCAATTCCCCTGCATGCTTTGCTAGCTTAGCCATATTTAAAATACGTCTCCTGTCTCAGTAGTAGCTCCAGGAGTAGCACAGTAGCTCCAGGAAGACAACTCACAAGGCCACTGTTGCCCAGCTGATGATAGAATATCAATTAGGCCAGGCAATATTGTAGCCTTTTTTGCATATCAGCACAGTCATAGTCACCAGAAAACATTTAATGAACTGGTATCTTTAGAAAGATGTGTAAGGGTGAGAGTTTTAGAGACGATGGTATAAATTGCAGGTCATGAGGGGAATTTCTGAGTTACATATTTTGCAAATTAATTCAAACTGATTATTAATCGTATTGATTCATTAGCCAATTGTAGTTAATTGAAAGCCAAATTTTAAATTAAGTTAGTAAATTTCTCTACTGTTGCAATAACACAAATGTGGGAGAAATAGGAAGAGAGAACTAAATGTGGGAGGAGATAGTGGGATGCATAATTGCATAATTGTGTATGGGGAAGGCATGAAGAGAGGCAAATGGGGAGGTATTGCGAAAGAAACACAAGTGAAAAATGTAATTGTGTGTCAGTTTTTTCACTTCTTATCTAGGTATTACTGTGTAATAGTGTTGTTGACTTTTGAATATCTAACCACTGTGTATGAGTGTGTATTTGTCTCTGTCCATGAGTGTATCTTTATATTTGTCTATAATGACAGTTTCTGTGTGTGTCTCTGTATATGACCATGTTGGTATGTGTGTTTCTGTGTGTACTTGAATGTGTCTACATGACTGTGTATTTCTATTTGCAATGGAGTATGTTTATATATGTATCTGCATGCAATGGATTGTGTGTTTGGTCTATGTTCATGTATGCCTCTGTGCATGAGTGTTCCTGTGCATGTGTGCATGAGTGTTGAACAAGAAGCTCCCATGCCTCGGCCTTTGGTTTGTAGCCTCTTGCAAACAGACTATTGGCCTGATGCCAAAAGCCCCTGAAAAAGGGTTGTGATAGTAGCAATTAATATACAAAGTATGCATTGTTAGTTTGACAAGTCTGCAGCGCCCTCTGCTGACTGAATAGAAATATGTACATTTTTATAATGTTGGTATGCAAATAAGGGCAACCAAATAAGTACCTAAATGTATATATTGTTGTTTTTGTTGTGTTTAACAATTTAATACAAGTAATATTTTCAATGTATTAATTATAATTGCTCATTCTCCAATGTTCTGTATATTTGTATTTTAAATGCTTTTTACCACATATTTAAGGACAATACACCAAAGGCTATTCCTTGTTAAAAAATAAAGAAATGTGTATTAGTTCCATTGGGAACTATATGTGCTGTGTGGTTTG